TACAAGATTAGGCTGCCTTCGTAGTAAAAAGCAATCCCACTGACTTTAGCTGAAGTTTTGTCCATGTAGGAAAAACAGACCTAGGCCCTTAGAAGGTTGCTTAACATCAAAGATTTTAATTTTATGATTTTATAAAATGAGCACTTTAGGTATTTAAAACTGGATTGTTCCTCTGCAAATTCTGTTCATTTTGTATGAAAGATATTTGCAGAAAATTATTAAATAAGCTTTATGCCTGGTAGAGAAGACAATGCTTTCTTAGGTAAAAGAATAGCAGTTAATTGTCATGAGTTTACCTTGAAGAATTTAATGGCTAAAGAGGGCTTTCCTTTGCTATTTTGAAAAGGCAGTAGCATATTTTAAGTCTTCAGGAAAAACCTTTAAGGAATTTTCTCACACACAGAGTAAAATCTACTCTACCACCTTTGATGACAATGGAGCAGAGGCAACATACATATAACACGAACCTGCTTTATACGAATACTTTAAAAGTATCCTCGTATTTATAAAAAGTGTCATTCGCATGCTTCAGAATATATATATATTCTTATAAAGCTCTATTAGCTTGCATACAGAACTTAAATGCCTAGATTCAAGCTATAAAGTTTTCCTACAGTGCTTTTGCGGGCTCATATATACTGGATCTGCAAGTATCCTTTCAAGCAAAACAGTACAGAACAAAATAGAAACCTTCATATTTAGGCTTTAAAATTCAAATACGGACTACTGCCAGATTCCTGGTTTGTCAAATCCTTCCCAGTTTTGCAAAACCTAGCTCACATCTCTCAGATGAATTAATGGTTCTGATGGTTGAACTTTGATGTCAGACAATACAAGATGAGCTGTTGACCAAGTTGATTAGATCACCATAATGTCTGAGACTTCTGAGTGAGTTAGATGGTCTTATAATAAATAGGACAGACTAAATCATATGAACTAGATGAGATTAGCACCCATGAGTACAATAATCCCACCTCAGATGTATAAGAAAGCTGACAGGTGAACTACAGGTGAAAGTAACACTCTGAAGTCTTCCACACAAATACTTGCTTGAAACTGAGGACTCTCTAGAAGCAAACTTCTCATTCTTGGGTCTCATGCTTATATGTAAAAATAATGGCAGCCTTCGCATCAGGTTTGCACAAGCAGTCACTTCTCTTAAGTAGAGAAGATCTGTCAATCTTTTCTGTAATATAACCCTAGTAAAACCAGCAAAGGCTCTTTAGAGAGGGAGAGATGTGAATGACTAAAAAAAATTAATGGATGCACACATTACATTCTCCTTCCATAACAGCTAACAGCAGCAGCATGAAGTATGATGAAAATGCACTTCAGCTGCATGAGAACAGACCAGTAGGACAACGCCGTAAATGAAGCACAACATTGGCTGCACAGAGCACCCAAAACCAAACACCGGGTACTTCATGAGTAATGGTCAAACAAAAGATTTGCGTATTACTGGATACAAACACAGAAGCAAGGAAAAAAAAGAATGGATTGAAAAGAACTGAATTATGAGCCTGTTGTAGACTCCCAGGCACCTGCCCTGTATTTTTACTGCGGTGTTGCATAGGGAAGATTGGATATCAGCTGTTTGGGAGTATTTTCTTTGGGCACTGCCGGCAATAAGGGCTAGCAGTGTTGTCATTTAGGTGAGTCTCTCACACTATCACAGCCTGTCTTTGCAGTGCAGGCAGCAAAGGCGGTGAAGACAGACATAAGTCTCAATTTCAGAATTCCCAACCCCCAAAAGTTGGACAGAAATTAAGTAAAAGAGTAGCAACATTAATTAAAAGGAATAGGCAGAATGAAAGCAGACAGTGTGCCCACAGCTAGCTCTGGACTGAGAGCCTAGGACACGACAAGGGTGGGTTGTTTTCAGTGAAGTCCCAACTTTCTAGATGTGTCCTACCAATTTCATCTGGAAAGGCAGAGCAGTTGGATACGGTTCACATCATTATTAGAACACACTATTAGGCTGTCTTACACTATTGGAACCCAACAGATGCAAATACCACCAGCAGAACTTGATAGTGCCCCTTGGTACCACCTGGAAGAGGTACCAAGGCCACCAGGTGCCACCTGGAAGAGATACCAAGGCCACCAGGTGCCACCTGGAAGAGATACCAAGGCCACCAGGTGCCACCTGGAAGAAACCTGTATTTCATTAGAGTATGATTTTTAATGATTCTAAAGTGGAGACTACGTATCAGACGACACTTCCTTTACATCAATACACGCATTTTAAAGAGCCTGTAAATGCTGCCAAAACAGCCAAAAGGAGAGCTCTGCAGTCAGATACTACCAGTAGAGACAAGTCAAGAACTGCCTTCAGCTTTCCAATAAACACACATAGCATAACCCCAACAGAAAAAGTGCTGCTGTGTGAAACTGATAACCAGCTGTGCCTGCCCCACTCTTTGGAAAATGACAATCTCTAATCTCTCACTCCTTTCAGATCCAACTGTGCCACACAATCTGCTGAGCACCCACCAGAATAAGCTTCAAGCAGATAAACTTTCAATCTATGGGAAATGGACATCACCTTTTTTGATGAGATCTCCTTCAAGGAGCCCACAGAAAAGCTCAAGATTAAGTGGACTATACTCTTCCTTCCCCAACAGGGTATCACCACTAGTAAATCTCCACTGAGAAGGCAGCAAAGGCAAGCTTAAAGCTGAAAATCAACACAGAGCAGGGCCATATAGGTGACCATCCAGGACCACAGCATGTCAGGTGTGCCTCGTTGTACTGCCTCTTGGAAAACAACGTACTTCAAGGTTTCCAGGATACAGAAGGATATCTGTGGTCACCATGGAAATCCAAGCTAATGCATGCAGAGGCGCTATTAGCTTGCCACTACCCCAGAAGGGCCTGAAAGAGTCCCGCGGATGGTTGCTGTATAAAGCCCAACTGCACTCAGGGACCCACGCTCTGTGTGCTTACTCTTGCGCACACAGCATTGGTCTGGCTGCAACTCCATCACCCCTGCAAAAACCACACAAGTCAGCAGATGAGTTATGAACAGGATCCAGCAACTACCCATTTTTAACAGCCCGATCTGCATGATGGTTTAACGCCCACTGCACTACAACGTGACCACAGACTTAAGGGATGTTTTAGCCCATGGGATAAGCACATGTGTATCAAATACATAAATAATCCCACAAAGCCTAAAGTACTGCATGTACATTTGACATTGTATGTGTGCTCAAGCACCTTCTTGAATCAGACTCTGAAAAAAGTCTGTTGACATATTTAGGGCCAAGGTGAGTGGGAGTCTATTTAATGAAATGAATAAATTAAAAAAAAAATGTCAAGGAAAGATAGGGACTGAAGCAACACAATAAGAAAGCATAAAATACTGTTAGCTACTATGTTATAAAGAAATAAATACAGTGGAGTAATGGTATAAAGGTGACAGCTCAAAAGCTATCTCCACCCAAGCCAATATTAACATTTTCAAGATCCAGCAAAGACACAATTTCTGCAACTGAATGCTAAAGGCAGCACAAATGTCAGACTTTCCTGCTCCCATGACAGCCCAAATGAAGAGGCTTTGGCCATCAACCCAGGACATACACAGGGGTGGAAACCACACATCCAATGGGTCTGTCAGAGCTCTCTCCCACTCCCAAAGAACAAGCACTGACTGCGTTCACAGGGAGCACATCAGAGCAACAAGGCAACAAATCACACTTTCAAAAGATTTCAAGGCTCCCATAATATACCTGAAAGCAGGCAACCCAAGAGTGAGGATTTTACACACAGCAATTTCCCTTCAGATGCTCAAGACTGTTTCGAATCAGACCCCATAATGTGATGATCAGCTTAAGCATGTGACAGTGCTATCCATCATTCATTGTTTCCTCCTAAAAAAACATGTTCTTCGGCAGAGTGATAGGAGAATATTTGAGAGACACTTTACATTTTAAAGGCAATGAACAGAAAAGCACAATGTATTCATACAGAGGCCATAAAATAGATCAGACATGAGAAGAACACTGTATTTGGAAAAATAATCACAATAAACATGCAATATTTTTATGAACCATAACAGCATATGCACTCAGGTGCTTTAAATTCATTTAAATATACTTGAAAATTACTGAGATACTTCTCTATTAACAACATACCCTAAATGGAAAGGTAGCTTAAATTTAAAGTACAATTGCTAAGGCAATAGTTAAAAATTTAATTGACAACAGCAAGGATATAATTTCAATCAATTTCAACCTGCTAGTAAATTCTTTGGAGATACAAAATAATTTAGTAGCAATATTATTTAAAGTGTTCTTCCTCTACATAAGCTTCAAACTTCTGAAAACATTTCATTTAAAAAACAAAACAATATTTACTACTTCAGACAGCACACTGAATACCTTTTCACCTCAATTCAGATACACAAAAGTTGATATATAATGCTGCTTACTCACCTGACTTAAAAAAATTAGTCTGCTGATAAATTTGAAAATAAAAACTATTATACAGTATTTACATAACAAGAATATTGGAAGCAGAATAATTAAAGCGCAAGTGTAAAATGCCATCTAAGAAAGTGGCTCCAAGATATTGAGGATGAGAAGCGTAAACCATTTAAGCTGCAAAACTTCTAAAATAATCCAAGAAGGTGCTCTTTGCCCTCGATTCCAACTGACTGTAAGGACTGCTCAACTCACTTCAGGACTAAGCCGTTGTTGCCAAATGAGGTATTTTTGCTGTGATGGTTATTCAGGACAACTGTTTTTGCTGCCTGACCTAATAACATCGCTCATGTTGAGTTTCAAACAGAAGGTATCTCATGACATCTTTAGGCCTACTTTAAAACTATAGCTCAACCTGGAAAATTAAAATTACTCTCCTACAAACCATAATCACGTTAACTTGCCAGCAGGAAAACTCAGAAGAATAACAGTAACATGTAAACAGTTTCCTAGTCAACAGGGAAGTCTCTCCTTCGAGCACATTGGTCAGCATGTCACTGCAGTGACTATTCTTACCTAGTCCTATTCTGTTGGGACTTGTCTCTCGACTGCATCCCTGGCTCCGAGGGATCTTGCTGCGCTTCTCTGAAGATGATGGCACCGGCTGGACTCTGGACGTTCCACCACTCAGGCCGCCATAGGCGCTTCCTAACAGCTTACCCGGAGAACTAGACCGACTACCAGCTAGAAGAGAACCACAAATAAGGAAAAAAAAGTTAAAAAAAACCCAAGATTTTAAATACACTGACAACAAAGCTGGAACAAAATTAGCTCTAAGAATTTAATCCAAATCACTCGAAAACTAATGGGAATGTTCCCTATGGGCTTTTGAGGAAGACTGAGGAAAACCCACAGACAATAAATACTGGTATCAGCAACCTCATATGAACCACGCTGCCCAGCTGGGATCAAGACCAAAGCAGACACAGCAGGGTACGAATACCCCAGCTGACTTTACACGAGCTTGTGGAGGTGCCAGGAGCAGCCTTGCTGCAGCAGCATGGAATTCACAGGCTGCTTCACCTCCTCGCAAAGCAACACAAATTTGCCTGTGTAGAGCGCTGTGCTTCAGCAAGCCAGCTTCTGGCACAGGTAACCTGCCCCAAGGTAGCTTGGGCATCTTCATGCTATGCTGCAGTGGTGGCATTACTCTCCTGCAACAATTCAGTGAAGGAGAATTAAAAAAAATACCATCTCAACAGCAGCAGATCAGCACAATAAAGGGTAAGCCAAGTGAGCCTGTCACATTTGCAGACACAGCTTACTTGGTTCTGACTGGTTAAAGCTAAACTATTTAGTTATTTTTCAGGTGGAGAAAATTTTTAGAAAGTTAAGTAGTTGGCCTGTTTTATTCTCCCTTGTCTGTTTGAATAGTCCATGGCAAGTTTACATTTCTTCTAAGCCATGTTGTCTGCAAGACAGTCTACTAACCAAGATTTATTGACATATTTACATTCCAGTTGCAGTAGATATTTCTGTCTGGAATAGTCTTGCTAACTCAATGGGCTGAATAATACTTTTTTTTCTTTTTATATTGTGGATCTTCATTTGCCAAGTTGTTTGAAAATTAAGTAATGCTAGCTTCAAGGTAACTGTGAGAGTAATAGATTCAAGACTTTTTTGCTTTTTCAGGTATTTCACTAAAAATTTGCTGCTGATATTACCATTCTTGACATTCTATTTGTTTGCTAAAACAGCCAGGAAAACTATATTTGAAAAGGTTACAAGAACATACTCAGACAAGTTCACATTCTGAACCAATGTTGGTTTCTTTCTGGAAAGTACCTACATATCTCACAAAAATTGCAGTTCCAGATACTGTTATGAGTATGCAAGAGTTAAAGACTGTTCTTTCATTTTAGTTTAAGAAGATATGCAATTCTATTAATCTGATGGACAATCCCATAACACATGTATTATTTTAACTTACTTGCCCCCCGCAGTTTCTTGACCAAAATGATTCTGAAGCAATCAAATTGCATACTCCAATACTGTATGTGGTGCTGGCTCCCCTCCACCCCAAAAAGTGAGAATACTTGTGACAGATGCCAGTCTCACACATAGCATTCACACCCTGAAAGCCAATCCTCCTCTCAGTTGCACTGCTGTAATCTCACTGATGTCAGCGGGGTTGCACTGAAGTAACTGGAAGAATTTAGCACCTGAGGTTTAAGCTGGAGCAATGAGCCAGCATCAATATACAGAACATACGCTTACCATGTTTGATTACTATAAGAAAGCAAAATCACTTGCCATACACATTTGGATTTAAGACTTTAAGGAAATGCTTTTTAAGTCTAATAGTTAGGAGAGTGTAAGGGAAGCTAAAAGCTTAGCAGTTAAATGTGAAGGAAATAACATAAGAAAGCAAGAAAGGGAAAACGTTTCTTACCACCAGCAGGATTAGCTGATCTGGATCCTTGATTATGAGGGCAGACCAAAGGACAGGCAAAAAGTGGATTAAAAGATAGCAAGACAATACAGCGTTCAGCATGCAGTTTATGCTATACATAATACAGACAGATTTATTCACAAACAAGTCACTCAAAGCCTCTGCGGAATGCAGTGAGTTAACGTGCAGATGCAACTAATTTTCCCCAGGTTGATCAGCTGCTTAGCTAAATGTCAACCAACACTCTGAGACCCAAGTTCTGCTCTAAATTACACCCCAGCCCAGTCTGCAAAATTGCAACAGGGTTATCTACTGTGTGGGCATGGAGAATTTGGTCCTGTGACCATATTATATTTGAATTCATAAGGTTTCTCATGCAATGTTCAGCTTAAGGATAAAGATTACATCTGGCTTGGCTAGGCTGGAATCAGGATTCAGCAAACTAGACCAAGGGAGCAGGTTCAGATGTGACCATCCTAAAGCTTCGTAGCACATTTTATAAGTAATTACACCCATAATCTTTGAAACCTCTGGATATTCAGATATTCTTTAAATACCTTTGAGACTCATCTCATCTGGTCTGGTCATTTTTCACCAAAATAAGTTTAGGAAAAAAGGTCATTTCTGGCTTGGGATCAGTTTTAGCTTCAAAACTGAAGAAATATATTTAGATCAGCATACCAAAGCCTAAATTCCTTCCTGACCACAATGCAAAGATTTCCATTTGGCTCCACCCTGAATATAATGGTTCTCTCTTCAGCTCTCCCAGCCTAACACAACGCTATAAACCACTTCCCCATCCTTCGAGCATGACAAAGCAAAGCAATGAATGAAGAAGGGCTTTTAAATAGGGGTACAAAGCAAGCAAGTCCTCAGAAGAAACACGTCTTTCAACAAATCCCATATCCTCTTACCTACAAGCTTGAAGATCCTTAAAACATGAGTGGCTTTCTCCCTCCCCAACAATTCCTTGTAAAGTTTGAGTGACAAAATTCTCCTTAGATACACATGACAAATACACAGCAGCGCTGCATGCATGGCCCGTAGGGGAAAAATATGCCTTGCCAGAGAGTGCAGATGTGTCATGTGAATCAGAGCAGAACCACTTCCCCCGTATCTACACAAAATAAGTAATGTCCTATTTTAAATTGATGCCAAATCCCATTAACTTTAGACAGGTCATGTGTTACACGTACAGAAATGCAGCCACGTAAGCAGAAGCTTGGCAGGGCAAGAACCCAGGACAGCAGTCAGCCACAGACAGAGACTGTGTCTCAGTGGGACCCAGTGCAAGTTATTTAGTCCTACACATCACAGAAACACGAAATTCTGCTGCACAACTGGTAAAAAAAAAAAGGCAGCAACCAAGCATTCGGATTTGGGACCTTATTTGTCAGCAAGAACACACACTGGCTGAGCGGGGATTCATTTTGTTACATGTCCGAACATTATTAGAAGTGAGCCCAATCCCCCGCTGATGCTACTACAATTCAGGAGAAACACATTAATAACTATTTGTTCTGCTCCCCCAGAAATAAAACACTTCTTACGCTGGGACTGGGAAACTACTTTAGCCCGGCTGCGGCCTCGGGTGTCGGCAGGCGTTGAGGTGACGCTTGTGGCACTGCCAGAGCTCTGTCTCCTTGTACGAATCCGACCTGGAGGAATGCAAAGACAATCAGACTGTCAATAGGTCCCTTCCAAAGGCAGCAGCAGCGTCTAACATGCTCTTCTATGCTTGCAGGATTGCTATATACACAATTAACCAGGGTACAAAAGAAAAATTTTACAGGGAGAGGCAACATCTTTCATTAGACTGGCTGAGACTCAGGGCAGGGAGTGGAAACAGTCACAGTCCACAAGTCCAAAAACTTCTTTGCTTTCTGTAACGCTATCAGCCGGTTTAATTAAAAAATATTACCTCTCTATAGCCTTTGCTTCTGTTCTACAGTAGCTTCTTTACAAAGGACCGACAACAAAAAAATCAGTCTCCTAAATGCTGCTTCCTATATCAAATTATTACTTTCTGAGAAGGCAATCACTCTTTCGGAGACAGGTGTGACAGATGCCCCCACAAATTCCATCACTGGCATTTCCAATTAGCAGTTCAGTGCTTTATATCCTGCTCTACATGCACAGGCTGGCACGCACTCCTGCGAGAGTCTGTCAACGCAGCCTGGCTACACTTTTATTTCAGACTCATTGAGTTTTCCATGCTGTTTACAGGTCCCTCATATTTATCCCAAGATCAGTGTAACTTTACTTGTAATGGAGAGTCCTGTTTAACACAATCAACATTGTGGAAAAATTATTCTATGTGTCTGTTCTTTATTTAAGCAGAGAATGGATATAAAGTCTCAGAGTGTTCTTGGTCCTTTTTCTGTCCTTTCCTCATGAAAAAGCCACAGAAACTTGAGCTAGAAAAGCTTACAGGGTCATCAGTTCACCCCCTTCCTGGGGCAGGGCTGTTTCCTACAGAATGTTCTTTCCAGTGCTAAGCTTCAATTATCTGTCTCTAGTTAATGGGAAAGAAATGATAATTAAGAGTAACACAAAGAAAGCCTCCATTAGCACTTTTCAACAACTCAGTTCTCAGCCAAATCTGAAGCTGTTTCTCAGGACTACTGCCAGTGTTATCCTGCATTCACAGGATGTCTTCAGGTTTCAGGCAAATAAGAGGAAAAAAACTACAACAGGTAAGAGAAGAGTCTAGAGAACTGCACCCACCAGTTATGGATATTAATCTCCTGCCCTTTGTCTTCACCATAAGCATACAGAGAAATATGAACACTTCCCACCCCAAAAAAAAGTCACTTCACATAAGATACACATGCAGGACAAGACAATGGCAAGCAGCCCAGGCTGAACGGATTGAGAGCTCTGCTCTTCTCTGAGCTCTCAAAATATTCATAACATGGTCTGCAGGTTTCTGATAGACACAAAGTGACAAGGAGCTGTTGAACTTGGAGAAGAAAGCCTAGACTTGTTTGCAGGGGAAAAAGCCTAGGAGACAGCTGTACTTCAGACCTCTCTGCCAGCACCTACTTTTGAAATAGCTTAGTAGGCAAGATACAGAGATCTACATTCAAACAACTGACTGTAGACAAGACACAAAAGAAATCATTAGTATAAAACCAGGAAAATATAAACAAACCACTTTTTAACTACTGGCTCAACTAAACAAGCTCTGAGCACGCCCATGCGGGTCCAGTCTTGAAACTGGCTTCTAAAGTCTTCTTACCACCAGCAAGGCTGCAGATGTTCTCCACTCTAGGACATTACAAGTGGTCAGCCTGATACACCACCAGGGACAGCTCTACGGCTCTTTGCTGCCCCATTCCCATCCCTCGCAAGTTTGGCACGTGTGCAGCTACACACAGATGAGCAGAGCCACTGTGCAACTTGCCACAAGGTGCACACCCCAAACCCCACTGCAGGCTTCAAAGCAGGCATGCGTGGGGAAGGAGGCAGAAGGACCTCACGCTCTTGTCAGAAGCCTCAAGGCTTCCTTTCATTTCTCAGATCAGGACGGCATCACTGGTGGCAGCAGGAGTACAAAACAGTAAGACAAGAAGTTAAACCTGATCAGTCTTAGGAACCAGTAATGGAATTAACTTCTACTCTTCCAGAATACCAACAGGAAGCCTTGGCATTGCAGTAAGTCCCAGGGGGTAACTCAAGCTGAAATTCAACATTATACACCGTAATGACAGTATTGGAAAACATGTTTAGTAATGTGTACGGGTCAAGAATGAGTGAGAAGGGACTGATGTCTTCTCTTATGCAGAGGCCACTCTTAAGATCCTCAAAATTTTCTGTTCTTTCTGCATCCACAAAATCTTTTTTTCTTTCTTTCTTTATCAGCAGGTGACTAAGAACAAGTAGAAAACTGGGACAATATGTAATAAGTGACTCTCCCACCTTAGGAAATACAAAGCCTAAAGTAACACATGAAGACAAACCAACGTACGCTTCTGACACCAATTTTGGGAGCTTTACGGAAGAAAAATGAACCAAAGGGTCAAACTTAATTAATGCATGATTATCAGCAGGATTAGAAATAGAGAGGTCAGTCCTATTTTGAAAGCCCTGAGAGTCAGGGGACAGACTCCTACCGAGTTCAGCAGTTTCTGTGTGAATGAGTGAATGCCCAAGAACAAAATTCTGCTTCCTTTTGGACTGGTAGATTTGCACACTGATTTTGACCTGATCAGAGAGAACAATGTGGGATGAAGAACTGCTCTTGCAACAGGAGGAACAGTCCCTGCACTGATACTAGTTTTCTCACCCTTCTAAAAAGGCTGACAAGCATTTGAGCTAACGCTGCACTGGACTTCTATTGTGCAAATGATAACAGATATAGCAGAAATTAGAAGTTCGTGACACAAAAATTATATAATGGTACGAATATTGCGATAGCACAGTAACAGCTTACCCTAGGGGTACTTCGTTTTTTAATGCCCATGGGATAAAGTAAAACATGATGGGGAAAAAATGCCTCTCAAATTCAAGGTCAAATTCTTCACACAGTTACAGGGGAAAAGTGCCATCTGGTATCAGTATATTCCATGAAGCACAAATTGAAAATGTACTTTCCAAAGTTTTATGAACTTTAAAACCTATGTATTTGTTTTTTCCTACATTAATCTTACTTGCAGCATACAAATAGTTCAAAATATCTGACTCAAAGCTACTCTTCAAAAAAAAAAAGTTAAGATTCTCAGTTTTTCCTATCCAAATACAATTTTTAGCTGTAAAACACAAAATTATCAACTGGAACTCAAAATTGATTTAGGCAAATCTGTACGAGAAAGAAAACTGGGAGAGGGATCCGAGATGTTTCCTGTGTTAACTGATCTTCACACACATGCACAACTTTTGAATTAGTCTTATAATGTCCAAAACTTATTTGCTTTATAGCAATGTAAGATGAATCATTATTTGTCTGGCTTGAAAATCTCAAGGTATTATAATATATATTATAATACCAAGTACAGCATGTATACATAGAAGTTTATCTATACAATACAAACATCTCTATTACGTTCCTTTAAGGATTTCACCTGCAAACAAGCGTCTGCACTTTCATCCAAGAGTTATTTGCACATAGGACTATGTGTGGCTTTATGCCTATGATTCTACCCCAGAAAGAAAAACTAATTTCAAGCAAGACTGTAAATAACATATCAAATAAGTTATTCAGACTTTTTGTTGTTGTCAAACTCAAGCAAACACCTCCCCTCCCAAAACTTCTTTGCTTTCAAGTGGTTTTGTTTCCATATCTAGCTCAAGCTGCAGATGTAGCAATTCATTTTTCATAAGCATTATTTGTCTGCTCCTGTTAAAAGAATGACTGCATCCTGACAACAGCAGCACAGCAAAGGAACAGATAAAGACTGCCCCAACTAGTTTCCAAAAACCATAAAAGTATTTCCGTAAGAAATCCCTTGATCTGAATTTGACATGTGATATTGCTGTTGGTACAGAAAGTATTTTGAAAGACTCCATATAAAGGCTTTGTGTAAAGAAACCATTGGGGGAGGGTTAGGGGGATTTTGGTTTTATTTTTTAAAGTTACTCTCAGTTTTTACAACAATCAATGGATCAGAATCAACCTTGAAATGTCTAACATATGTCTAAACGTAGGGAAGTTGTTTTGGTTTGGTTTTTTTTGGTTTGTTTGTTTTGTTTTTAAAAAAGAACAAGAAAGGGAAGATTCTATGATGAAGTTTTTGTGTTACAAGAGGCTTCATCCAGCCTTGTTCTGAGCCCCTCTGGGAGGATACTGCAGTGTCTCCATCCCCAGTGATCACAACAGACATAGGCTTTGTGAGACCCAGCCTGCATATTATACTGACGAAAATGGCTTTCAAATAGTCTAGAAATGGTCTATAACATCTCCACAAATGAGTTTAATCAGTTCCATGCTGTGAATAATGATACCTACATCCACACAAGTTATATATGGAAGCACTGGGATGGTAATGGTCTCTCCATGGATCAGGTTAATGCATTTAGGTTACTCAGCACTGGGTTTTCCCCTGCTTGGAGAAAATCATTCCTGCAAGAGCCTTTAGGACCCCCCTAGCTGTGTCACTGATAAATGACATGTGGACATCTATGAGACATGCACACATCAATTAAAAACATGCTATACATATAAATCTGTAAACAACTTTTTACAGCCAGCATGGTATAGTTTCCATGCACATTTAGCACATGCCCAACATAAGACCTGATTCTGCACCATAATTTCCCCCAAGAATCACTCAACCCTTACTATCACTCAACCCTTACTGGAAACCATCAGAATCTGGTGCCTCCAGGTTTTGCACAAAACTCCCTCCAAAGCAGGGGGCTAAGGGATCAACAGGGGCACCACTTTGCCCTACACCAACAAGCACAGGCAAATCAAGTCAGCACTTGAAAAAGGGTGGACCAAGAGAACAAAAAGAAACCTACTATCTGAGCATTTCCATTTAAGATACCATGTTCAGTCAAACTTTTGAATCATTCCTTGTCCTTGAGGTCAAGAAAGACCTTTAAGGCAGAGAAGAAAACAGCAATGGTGATTTCATAAACATTGTGTTACTCCCAAAACCTTTGGTAAGGCTCGAGTTGTCCAATTGAACTTAGGCTCAAAAAGAGTAGTCTGCTCTCTGAAAACTACAATAAATCAGATTTTCCTTTCTGGTGAATAATAAAACCTATTAAATATTGTGCCACGGACTCTGGGAACTGCTGATTTTGTTTTAAACTTGCCAGTTTGGGGACAGACCAGCATTTAGGCTTCCCCCTTCTGGGAAAGGCTTGTCTGAAGGGCTTGTCTTTATGCTCACTTTGAAAAAAGGCAGCCAGGTAACAGAAATGCTCTGAATCATTATTCTATTAACTGAAAGTCAGCATGATGCACTTTTTTTAAATGCTCCTTGAAAAGCCATTTCATGATACAACAAGCAGAAAATTTTCTGTGGTCTCCTTGTAATCAGGTGTAACAAACATGGCTTTAGGGCACACAACTGCTACTTGCACAGCACTAGCTGTGAAGTCCTGATCAAGACTATAAAGGTTTAGACCTTACAAGCTTTCTACCTGCAAAGCTTTTAATGAAGTTCAAGAGATACCCATACATGAAGGGTCTGGGCAATCAAGACATAACTGTGCACTGCACGAAGAGACAGCCTCACAGCACAAAGACAGTAGAAGACCTGCACAGGTTTAAGTGGTATATAGACTCACTGCCATCGGGAAGTGTATTTCAACACCATTTGTCAATTGGGATGACACTACTTAAAACTGAAGGACTGATACTCAGCTCTTAGCTTGTATTCTTGCCATTGGCATAACCCACTCTATCTTGCTCCTGTTTTGAGATGTCTGGCTCAAAAACAAAACACTGAGGAGGGCAAAGCAGATGGGAACTGCCAAGTTCACACAAAGCTGGCTCCTGGCTGAGGGGAAGGTGCAGAACTTTTACACTATAGCTACAGAAAGCCATGATGGGAACCAGACTGCAGATTTAACACCAAGCTGAACCACACAAAAAAGCACAGGGATTTGATCTTAAATTACTGATACTTATTGGTGACCTGCAAAAAAAAAAACCCAAAAAACAGGGGCACAGGCACGGATGGAATTTCTGCTTTATGTTCAAAGAGCATCTCTTGCACACAAGTATTTCCAGAGCAAGGGGATGTTTTTCTCTTTTTTTTACATTAATTTTTACATTTATGTCAAGAACATGAAGTTTTGCCTTCCCTGTAGCTCCTGGCAAACTCTGTGAGATCAGAGAGTTGGCAGAAGACGTTTTTCAGCTCTCATCTGTAGGACATACCAAATCCTGAACAAAGGCTGGTTTTCCCTTAACTGTCTCAACAAAGGAAAATAAAGATGAAGAGTTTCAAACAGTGATTAAACTCATCCTTCAAGTGCTCTGGCTGTAGTGTGCCATGCTGTTATAATCCTCCCTGATCATCACTCTCCCCCAAAAAAGAGACTCCTATAGCAAAAGGGAGAGATGAGATCTGGTATTTAACATAAGGGGGATGGTGAATTCAATTTCAAAAAGTTCATTTCTCAGTCTTTCCCCCCAAGTGACTTGCTGGTTTCTATTACAGATTTTTACCAAATCCAATCTGCTTCCAATGTAGCTGGATTGAAAAAAAAAAACCCCAAACATAATCAAACAAAAAGACCCCACCCTTTTGCATTATGACAATAAAGCATTTAATAAACTAAAAATAAAAGTATTCCTGAGGACAGCTGTTGAAACAGGCCTCCACGAATATCATTACAACCTAGGAGAGGTTTGAGACCTGCATATGTTTGAGAACTGGGGGGAAAGGAAGAAGATAAAAAGAAGGGTCAGCAATGAATTAAAGAAGCTCAGGATTACAACAATCTGAACTTTCATCTAATTTATCATTGATTTAGAAATACAGGTGTTTAGGCCAACTTCATATTCCTTATCACTGACAGATCAAAACACAAACACTTGCCCATGATGCAGAGCCAGTTCATGCCTCAACACTAAGATGCCAGTTCCAAAAACAGTCAAGACCTTTCCCTCTAAATAATAAACCAATGCATCAATAATAGTAAGGAAAAAACACGTCACAACTGTACAGTGGCACTTCTGAGAACACCACATCCAGATACAAGCAGCCATCAAGGATACGAGCACAGTCCCACAAGACAGTAATAGATCCCTTGAAAAGAGACTTGCATCACGAAAAAAATGGGTTTGTTTGTTTGGGGGTGTGGTGTCTTCATTATGTGTAGAAGGCATTCTTGTTTTCAGCTCCTGTCTACCTCAGAAAAAGTGATTTCCCAGTGATCTCTTTTGCTTGAGAGAAATAAAGAACAAGCTTTGGCAACGAGCCAGAGAACCAGACTGGGAAGCCTCCCAAACTAGCAGGCTCAGTGTTCTTGAAAAAAAGCCTTTCCTCCAACTGTCTTAGATGTAAGCCACTTCGCCCAGACAGTTACCAACAAAAAGAGAGAGATCAGGTTTAAAGAAGTTGACTAAATATTCCTTCCCTAGAGATCATTGTTTACTGTCCTCATTTTTCTGCCATGTGATCATCTCATTCAATTCTCTTGCTGCCCAGTCTCTTCCCGAAAGCATTTGGCAGTTGCGACCTGAGGTTTGGATGGAAAAACACAGCAAACCTTTACACATCGTGGAGCAATCTGTGCACAGGTCACCTTCAACCAAAAGCAGTGCTTTAAATACAGAGACCCACATGACTTCTGATCACAAAGTTGCAAGTCATAAAAGCAGACTAGTGCCTAGTATCAGGGAGGAGCTTGAAGAGAAAGTGAAGAATACCCCATGGCATCAAAATGAGCAGGACAACCATGCAACACTTCATGCAGGTCACCAGTGAACATGGATGAGAACCAGATAACACTTTGAGAACAGAGACCAGGTAGGGTGGTACGACTTGTGGACACACCTCAGTTACACAGAGAGACTGCTTACCCTCAGTTTTAGTGGTAGTACCATCTTTAGGCAAATTAAAAAAAATAAGGAAACGGTTAAAAGGGAAAATTAGTAACATCAACAGAAGTGGGCACTATATATTAGCTACAGAATATGCAAAAAAATTAACACAATTAAAGAAATGAAAAAAGTTTGAGCAGCAAATCAAAGCTTGATGCATCTGAAGAACACGCTTGCAGGTTTTCCTTCCTGCAACAACCAACCTTTGCCAAACTCCATTTTCTTTGTTTGCCTCACCATTTCTCTCAGGAATGCACAGGTGACAAGTGTCCCTACTAGCTCAAAAGGAAGCAGGCTCCTGTAGGAGCAGCCATGTTTGCATCACAGAGTGCATTTGCTGCTTTTCTCCTACAGTCTGTTTTAAGAGCAAGATTAACACCGCATTCAGTCTCAGCTTCAAGGACAAAGCCAACTTTAGCAGATACTTCCCACCCTCTTCTGTTCTTCTTCATGACACAGGATTGTTTGAAAGCAGTTTTGCCACTGAAGCCAGTATGAAGCACGATGGAAAAATGGTTGCATCTGTAAGCTCCAAAGCACCCTATTATGAGATCAACTTCATATTCTGTATTATGTCTTCTCTGCAGTGTATCTACATCTTGAACCAAGTATGAACAATTTAGATCAGAATAAGAATTCAACTTCTGAACCAAATACAACCAACACATTTAAGCCAAGGTGAAGTATTTCAGATAAGAAACCTGTCTACAAGAGGAATGTATAGAAACCATCCCTACATAATTCACCAAGCCTATTTTATCAGCTTAAAGACCAATTTCCTTACAGTAAGGAGAAGCAACTTTTCAACTGACTCAGTAAAGACAACCTATAGGGCTTAAATCAAGATCACTGATTTCTGATTTTTCTTCCTCTTGTAAAGGCAAATCGATGAAAAGTCTGGATTTAGATTAGCATGAAACCAGCAGAATAAGAAACTAGCTCAGATGATCAGCTCTGGTCATAACAGAGTTGAAGATCCGCAAATACGGTCGGTGTCAATCACTGCCTTGCATTTTCTCCTCCATGCCTCCTTCAGTGGCATCTCCAGGAGAGAAAGATCAAACACAAACTTTGTTGTAAGAAACCCTGGGGCACCTGAAAGCAATATCAATGCTTTGAGAGAAAGATGTGGCTATAATCTAAAAAGACTCATCATAAGGAACAGATACTAATATCCTGTGTGGTGAAACAGGAAGGCCAACTTCTCCTCTTTGCTTCTACATCTTTCTCTTTTGTAAAACAGAAAGCGATCAAACTCAACTAAGATATACTATTCAAAGCAGAAATGTCAGAAGGAATTGTGCAGTAAGTATTTTCCTCCACAACATCCCAGAATTGGACTAAGATCTGCTTTTGCCCAGAAAGAAGAGTGAGACGCAGGCTATTAAACAATTCAAAACCTAAGAAGTTGCTTCAAGTCAGCTCTGTTGCAAATTTTTTCCTTAATCCCAAAGGGCAAGAGATTGCACACTGGTTCTGGAGAGCTAGTAACTATCTCAAAGATATCTTCTTCTACTTAGAGGTTAATATTCAAATAAAACTATGAGGCACTTTCTGCTAGTAAAGAAAGCTAACTGCAAGAGTAGAAGAACATGTAGATTTACCTAGTGATGCGTATGAGCCTGGGGGCAAGGCTGCAGCAGAACTGAAGGGGGTGGATGCTCCAGAAGACGTCACTTTTGACTTGGCACTAGCTGCTGCATTCACATCGACGTCACTGCGGGATCGCTGCAGAGATCCTGGTGTTGACACAGATTTTGTACTTACTGTAGATGCTGCAGATGGGAGTGGGAGATCCAGAATAAAGACGATTAATTTTTTTGAGCTGTGTGCTTCAAAGAGCGTGACAAGCAGTTTAATGTACTATTTTTAATGCTCCCTGCTAGCATTGAAATACCTCAACTAAGGATGCTTTATCAGGGCAGTGTGGGCTTCCCCACACTGCCTGCAAAGATCTTTCAATGCTGACCTGATGCTACCTCTAAGAACACTATCAGAAACTAACCTAAATGCTGAGATCAAAAAGGCTGCCAAGGCCAGTAACAAAAGAAATTTCTAATAGAACTTAGATGGGAAAGTTCAACCACAGTATCAGCCTGTGAGTTGCTGGCCGAAACAGACCTTCAGGTCCTTCAGTCCAAGTTCTATTAACTTCGTTCCCAACAGCTCATCTTCTCATGAGGGCTGCTGTTTCCATCACTTGTTGACGCTTACCCTCTTAAGCATGAAGCTTGTCTATTCAGCTGCAAGGAAACGCATTTGTGTGCACAATCAAGTAGGTTCCACACCAGTATCTCCTTGAATCAAAGGTCTCAGTAGGGTGTAGCGTATACACAAACCAGCCAGAACCCGATCTTGGTCAGGTGTAGAAGGCAGTTTATCTTCTACTAACAAAGTTTTGTCTGTTATACTCTGTATTAACACTTACTATTTAGACTATTGTATGCATTTACTTAGGACAAGAAAGCTGCACCTAAATATTCCATCTAATAGTAAAAACAGATTAGCAACAAGATGGAATTTAACACTGTAGGACTTATGTGCAGATGCTGCCTCCAATAAGTGCTGAAACCATAGGAAAATAAATGACAGAAAATTGTAAAGCTGAATGCACCATTAGACTATGTAGCTGTACGACTTTGCATCAACAGGAGTTTATTCCAGCTACTGCACAGCTAACCATACCTTGGCTACAATTTTCAAGGCTTTTTAGCTTTCCCTTCAGGTGCAAGCAATGACAGATTTACTAACTTTCCAAAGCATCATTATATCAGCAGTTGATGCACAGAATGTGGTGTACAACCCAAAATTAAAAATTTTACATAATAAGTTGCCATTTTAAGGAGTAGTAAACAGGGATCAGATTTGTTCTTTGCATATTATAGTGTCTGAAATTCTCATTAATTCATCACACTTCCTCAGCAACACTTGAGTGCTTTTATCAGCTCCTGTTCTCACCTCTAGATGTAGTACTTCCAGTAGGACTTCTTTTGGCAGACAATGGACGGCTAAAAGTTAATATAAATATTTATTAAAACAAAACTGGTATTTCATAGTCATCAGTAACAGTGCTACTCTGTTCCCTCAGTACACAACTGAGTTAATAGGAAGTTATTTATATGCAGTAATAGACTAACAAAGCTTATTGTTTAAGAATAAATACAGCACCATCATGAAATTCTTTACAAAAGCACCAGAAAAAAGTTAGTATGCACATTATTTGAGCTAGAACAGATTTTTAAGAACACTTTGGACATTTAAAAAGCTGCACCGATAAGTTACGGATATTTTTTATAGGTCTAACTTAAATTGCAGACATTTGGAGCCTAAGTTGACCAGATCCCTAGAGAAGATAAATTACATGCATTCAACAGAAGAGTTATATATTGATTTTGCAGTTACAACTCAAATTTAGTTTAGCCATTTTTATCTCTTAAGGGGGCAGACTTACCTCTTTAGGATTAATGCTAAACACAATTTTAATCCAAGCATTGTTCTAAGCACACCTGGAAGGAATGACTAACAGTATTTGCTGAGCACAAAAACTGCCTAGAAAATTATTTATAGAGTCAAGATATTTTTTTTAAAGCCAGTAAAGGGTTTTTCTGGCTTTTTATTTTACTACAACATTAGCTAAAAAAGTATTCTGGAGTAACTAAGTGTTGAGGTCAAACGATGACCAGGTGAGATAAAAGTAATGTGATAGCTCCCTCCAATCCAATGGAGCTATCTGCAGTTTAAATTGAGAGGTAGCAACATCAAAGAACTTACTTGAGACTCTCCTGGGAGCTGGAGGAGGAGCGATCTGACTGTGGCAAGGACACAATGCTGTCAGAGTTCTTCAAATGTGACTGCAGGGCCTTCTGGTAGGAAGACTCCAAGGTGTGGTACAAATGCTCTGCCTCTCTGCTGAAGTGACTGTGAAAACCCCAGTAACACCTGGAAGCAAGGGACAATACTGTGAGCATTTTCTTGCCATGTTTTAGGGGCAAGTGGAGAACAAGCACAGCCAGAGCCCTTTTCATTGCTGGCATTAGTGGGCTCATTATTCCAGCCATTTCAACTATCCACTGCCCCATGACACATTTAAGACCTATCACTTTCTTCAGCCTCTTGAGTTGCTCAAACAGCCACACAGAAGAGAAACCAAACAAAAATAAGGAGAGGAACACACCATTTGATGCGTTGTAAAAACACAAGTATTCAAAAAAGCATTATAGAAGAAACCCTCATCCCTCCAGCTGCCTACCATACACAGGAGATGGCAGATGCACTAGACAGATACTAGTTTGGGACTGGGTGCTCAACAGCTACTTCAAAAATATGCCAAAAGCAGAACACACGTGCATGGGCCTGATTCAGGGAAGTACCAGCTGATTGTGTTTTCTTCCTTAGGTTTAACAAACAGCTCTTCTACAATGCTGCAGAGGCAAATCTTCTGTACTGAGTTGAGGCTGTTGACTATCTTTTTGGGAAGAAATAATAAGGAAAAGGAAAGGAATGCTCCTATAGCCTTCCAATCAGTGCCACGCTGAAAATAAAAGAGCATTTTAAGCTGAGAGAAGAACTCCATTTTGGTCCAAATCTCCTGGCTGATGGCTAAATGCCATTTTCTCTTGTCACAAAGGAGATGAAGACTCTCAGCACTTTTCAGGGGCAACTAGCGGGCAGTTTAAGACTAGGATTGTCAGCTCAAATGAATCAAGAATTGTTTGTGTGTGACAGCCAGTCCTCAGAGAAGTCACATGCATTCTCACATCACTAGAAAGAAACAAATTTCTGCCTTACAATCAGCCACACTGTTAATTAAGAAACATGGGAGGAGAGAATTCAGCATACTCTCTGAAGTCTCAGGCATTCTCCTTGCTGTCTGTTCAGCTTAACCAGTCACCTGCTGTGAAGTCTCAGTGCCTACTGTATTTTTCAGTCATGGACACGTTCCCTTTCAAAAGGATTTAAGCAGTCCTACTGCGAAACACCTCTGCTTATAACACAGCATTCAAATTAATAAAATTTATTGTTCACTGATTTGATGTTTTATAGCATCTTCTTTCTGAAGAAAATTGTTCCTGTAGTGTTCTGTTCAGAAGAGCACAATCCTAGTATATCAGCATACTACCATAATTACAAACATATTAATAGAAAGAGATCTTCTGTTGAAGATGCGATACATATACAATTCAGCCCTATGCGATCATTATCTCATTGAAGCCAAGGGAATGTTGGCATCAACTGCCAGAACAACATAAATTGTCTGGACTTCAGTCTCCAGCACGCAATACCACTGACTCACAACACAATAGGGGCAAAGAAGGGGAGGAAGAAAAGATGCCAACAACAGTTTCCACTTACTTTCTTGCCTCTATCCTGGCTTCAGAGTCTGCATCATGAATTCCCTTCTTTATCGTTTCAGCTAACACTGATATGTGTCTGAAGCAAGAAGGAAAATATTATCCAGCAGTCCAGAAAGATGCACCACATTTATAAACAAATGACTAATTTGATTTTGCCTTGGCCTCCAAGAACAAAAAGTTCATCACATCTTCCCACTTCTGTGTAAGACCCTTTATTTATTTACCCTCTATTTAGTTATTATTTTTATTATTATTTATTAATTACTTTATTTATTTACTTTTACAAGTCAGTTTTATTTCACCCACATTGCTGACTAGGAAAAAGGCAAGCAGCATTTGTCATAGGTCAGTCTTCAGTTGGCTATTGAAACTGCTTGGGTAGTCTAGGGCTAAGAAAAGTGTGCCCCGGTCTCTTCTACCACAATTGCTTTCCCTGTTCATTTGTTTGAAGTACTGTAGAAGCTCAGAAGCTCCTGATCGATGTCTAGTAGCCTTCACCTCATCATCTCACTTTAGGGTGCAAAGTGGGGGGAGGTGGGGTGGAATCTATCGAGTTCAGGGTTCCACTCAGCCAGGTCTTCTAGGGCTGGCATAGGAGACAGACTCACCAAACTGTGGCCCCAGGACTACAGGGATAAATGGGGTGTGTACACATACATACATGCTTTTTTCTTCTGGCAAAAATATCTCTACTAGAGCCACCTGATATAATCTCGCCTGTTAGATTATCCTTTCTCCAGAATTAACCTCCCCAGTCATAAGCAGGAGAGAATTAACCCACTTGTTTTCAGAGCTTACCTTTCTAGGGAGTGTGTTTGCCACTCCTGCAACAGCAAGTCTAAAAATTCAAAACAGCGCCTGAGAGAAGAAAGAGAAGAAATGCTGAGTTCTCTAAGTTAAAAGGCACACTGACTTTGCCATACCTGCCTCTGAACAGCCGCCACCTTTTGTTACAAAGCTTTCAGGGACATTAGAATTCAGTAGAGACCCCGACTTTAAGTGCAGAGAGGACCATTAGCACATCCAGTCCAACTTACAGATGACAGTGTCACAGAACACTACACTTTTGCTGACTGGCTCAAAGAAAATGTGTCACTATAATGGCTAGTAGTGAGGAACAGGAATATGTCTGTAAAGAAGCCAAAATAATGTGATGCTATTATAACGACACGTAAGCACAAAGATTAGTTTAAAGAACATTTTTCTTTGAGGAAAAGTGCCTTTTCTTCTCTGCAGTGCTGCAGCTTACACAAGATAGCTGACTGAGTTTGATCCCAATTCATGGAAGCAAACAAAACACGTTCCTTAGCGTGTGTATCAACCCTTTTCATAAATAAAAGCAAATACATGGGTGTTATCAGAAAGTACATGTGAACCTATTTACAGGTTAAAAAAAAGCCTAAATGCTCACCTTCTAACTGCAACAGACTTGGAGGTACAATTACTGGTTATGATGGGTATTAATCGAGGGATGTGCGTATGCTAGAAGAAAAAACAAACAAGAAAACCTGGAAGAAATCTTTATACCACAGTTCCATGGCATGAAAGGCCATCTCCTTCAGACACCTGAACCCAGTACGTAGATATTTATTTTTCTTCAATTCTTAAAAATAGAACTGCTAAATAAAGGAACACTAACAGCTGTGGACAGATATTTTTATTATTAAAAATATTTTGTATTTTATTTGTTAAAATGCCTCTAGTAGGTATTTTATTTTCTTCTATAATGACATGCTCCAGTGAGTCAAGGAGCTCAAGTCACTGCAAGAGAATCTAAACTGTCAATGGTGACAACTTGAGAGATACCAGGCTATCTACAGCTTCCCCACTGAATCACTAGGCAGAAGTCACCTCCCTGACCTAATGGTTTTAGGAAAGGTGCACTGGTTGTGAGGAGTTTTAGAACACCATTAAAAGGATGAGTCTGTCCTACAAGGCAGGTTTAAAACCCATCCAAAAAAAAAGTTTGCTCAGGTCTCAGAGGGATGGAAATACATTACTCTGCAAAGAAACATTTTTCCTATTTTGGCAGGGCTTAACTACCATCATCTACACCAGATCTACATCTGAGACAGCCAAGCCCAGCACAATCAGAAAAGTAGATTAGGCACTTAATCTAGTTTTCATTGCAATAACATTCATATTTTTTTCCAGAAACACCACAGTATTTGGAAGTGATAATACTTTGTTCTCTTTTGATGTATACTTACTCGAATGATTAATCTAACTGCTACAACACCAGAAGTGGCCATGACTTTGGCACTGTTTGGAATTAGATTAAAAATTGTTGGCATAATGGCTTCAGCCCCATGGTCAAACTTGTTTCCCAGAACTGATGACAAATGTCTGAAAAACAGAATGAAGTCATGCTGGTAAGTGTGTCAAGGATTAAGCCAGTCAGGCTTCTCAAGAACATCTGACATAAGCACATCTGACATCTCACTCTTCCCAACTGTCACCTGCTCTCCAACTCTAAAGGACAGAGAACACCATGCTTCAAAAAATTAGTTTACTTTCATTTCAAACTTGTGTTCTATATTCATCTGAACTCTGAGAAACAGTAAGTTCAGCATAAAATAAAGTAACTAGCACAGCTAAAAATTTATTCTCAAACAAATGGGATCATGCTGAAAGAATGTATTTTTCTGAACTTGTTAGTTTGTATTAGTTTCTCTGAAACTGCCTATTTTGCCTTAATATGCATAAACTTCAAAAAACCTGTTAGAAACACTGCAGCGCCCCTTTTTTTTGAAGCATTTCACAAAGGATAAGCCATCAAAAATGAAAACTAGCTGAATCCAAACTAGAAAAAAAAATATATACATTTTCAGCTTTATTGTTCAATCCTTCCCTACTCGGTGCATGAATGCATGGCTTGCTCATTCAGTGTCTCTCAAATCAGGATCATTTAAAACTCAAAACCAGTTTGGCCCAGCTACAATTAGTGGCCTACATGGATGTGGTTTTAAACAGCTGTAGCAAAATCATGTTCTACCTATAATTGTGTAGTACTAGCAGCATGCGTTACATCCTACATGTTTTAACCAGTGTCTGTTCCTTTTTTCTACATCACGTTTCAAGCTCATTTAGAAAGTAAACTTACCCCAATGTGATACAAGCCTCTCGTACTACTTGAGACCGCAGGTCTTTAGCAGATAATTTAAATGCTCCATCCAAAAGTCTTAAGTGTTGGAAGAAGTTATCATATTCTGCAGCTCCAGCCAAAAGTAAGGAACGGATCTTTTTCAACTGTTAGCACCATAAAAGAAAGCAGTGACTGTTAATGAGCAATGAACTCCAGGACAGTTATGTTCAGGAATGGTACTTGGTTTCCAGGGTCCTCATACAACTGTTCCTCAACATGCATTGAGGAACTCCATTCTTAAAGTCCAAGCAATTTCATTATTTCAGATCTTATATTCAACTCACATGCTAATCCAGTAAGTACAGCAATACAAACACACTAGCTAACTGTTACAGGAAACCAGAGCTGTTGCATACAGCTACTCAAACTGTATTGTTAATAGCCCAAACATTACTTTTTAAGCCAAAAGATATCTTGAAGAGTCTCCTCTATTCCCCTCAGAAACCACCAATTTACAACAGCTTCTAAAGCTAACAGCTAACTAGTGTATTAAAAGGATGACTAGACTTGAAGGGCATGACTCGTACTCAGATCTGAGTAGTTCTGACTTATATCTAGAGAATGTCCATTGACTATGTTAGAATAATTATCTGGCTCTACTAGAAGTGCAACCCTGACCCCATCAAATTGAGAAGTTTTCTGTTAATATTACAGGGGCCACCATTTCATCCTATAGACATCCTTTTCGACACTTTCCCAGGCCCTCATGTATACCAAGGCATCTGTACAGTGTCTTGATTTAAGCTCAGTGTTACTCAGTATAGCAAAGAAAAAACCCCAAAGTAAGCTGAATCGGCTCAGTTTGCCACTCAGATCTGTAATACAGGATTTGACAGACTTGTCAAAGTTGCTACACCAGTGATGAAAGCCCACAGTATAGACAAGATCATGCATCTATTTATATCATGAAAACACAGCTCACCTCAGTAAATAAAACTCAAACTTGGCATGCATATAACACATCTGATTTTCCACTTGCACATTTCCCAGTCATATTTATTTAAAACCCAAGTGTGTAAATTCTTTCTGAATTGTTTCACACATCCTTTTACAAAAGCATAAATAAATACTCTATAAGCAAAGTGACTTTCTACTTCATCAGGAAGTTTTAAGATATTCTGAATACTACTTTTGACATTTTGATTTCAGCATCTGATAGCAAATTTCTAGCTTTACATCTGGATTTGCTGCATGATTTCCAGTTCAACTTGAAGCTGTCTCAATAGATTCTTGTATATCAAACAGCATTTTCCTTCACAGATGTGGTTTAAATTCAGTCTCAAGGAAACATTTCCCCCAAACTTTGGGGAACACAACATATGTTCATCACTTAAACTACATCCTAGCCTTACCCTGAGATTCTTCTAGTACCCTCTTCATGGGATTAAGCTCAATGCAGGAAAACTTTATATTAATAGGGCTTATATCTAAGTTCACTACTTACCGCAGAAACTCTCTGTTCCCAGTCGTGCTTATCGTCTGATAGTATCTCTCTTATTTTGTTTATGGATTCTTCAAGATCCCGGCTAGAATAAATCTGCAAAGTTGAATACAGAGTAGCACCATAATGCAAGATTTACTCCAAAAAAATCAGATCACTTCTGAACTACATTCTTAAGCCCTTTACTCTTCAACACTTAAATGTCACATGCTAGTCTTGGACACAGCTGGCTTTGCATAATGCAAAGAATTTACACCCATTTCCTGCAATCAAAAATTACTAAATGACCACAAGATGATTACAGGATCATCTTTCCCTCCCTATTTTAATATATTTTCACAATTTTAAGCAGCATTCATGCAGCTGCTAGTGTCTGTATTAGTGAAGACCTACAGAAGATGATGATTGGATACACGTGCTGTTCAGCTGTCCCAAAAATAAAGCTCTGCTGAAGGAGAGGGGATACGTGACACATCTCATCTATCCAGCTGAATCTATCAGTAGACACGCACTGTCCAGTTCTTGCACTCACAACAGCAGCGATCCTGGAGACACAAGTCACCGTTACTGCTTTCACTTCCCAGAAGGTACAGATGAAATGTAGAGACGCTCCTGCTGACTTAAGTTTTTGTTCAACCAGACTGCAGTTTGCAGCATGCACATCCAGTTCCAGCTCCATGTCTGCTCCTGTGATACCTCTATCACAACCCTCCCACCCCCATTCCCTCCACTTCTGAGGATTTCACATAAACTACTAGCAGATACCACCATTTAAAACTTGCCTCCCTCCAACTTCTAACTTGCCTTCCCCTTGAAAGATTTGCCAACATCATAATCAAGCACAATTTCCAGTGATTAGGACTAGATCCTATATCCATCTTCTGCTTTTTAGTTCTGTGTGTTTTAACATGTAATTCTACTTACCTGAACCGTTGGGACATCTTCAAATGCCTTAATGAAGTCTTCTTCATCCACAGCACCTGCTCCCTCTTTGGCTGCTGACATACAAATGAAAAAGCCTTTTCAATCTTATCAACAAGAGAATCAATTAAGAAACCACCAGCTATCAAGACACCTAATCAGGAGAAAGTTCACTATCCTTGCAGCCTCCAAGTGCTGAAGATGTAATGAAATCAGAGGCAGGGAAATTCAATGCCAGGCACAGACTAGACATTCACAGCATCCTTCAACTCCTAGGCACAAAGGGCACATTAGGGAAGTCATTACAGGAGTCACTCAACAGTTAGGGGACACAGTCTGAAAGATGAAAGGGAATATTTACTTTAATTATACAGCAGATTTTATTTTAGAGGATTTAATCCTATCTATAATAGATGCAGCTGCAGATCTGACAGGTGCACAAACAGACAAATGATAAGGAAGATAAATAGCTCTGGAATACTAATCAGATTAGAGACTGCCCGATATAGGGAACTTTCTCCATTTCTTTAGGTCATATGTAGAATTGTAATCACACATAGAATTATTGCTCACATTCAGAATTACTGCTCAGTTTTCTTCCTGCACCCTCATTACGAGCAATGCCCAAAGGTCTTAGAAGAAAGCCAACGTGTCAGTTTTAGATTGCATAGGCTGAAGTTTAGCGGGCAGCTGTAAGCAGCCTGCCTCAGTTCAGCTAAAGTTGTGGCTATAAAGGCAAAAATCTACACATGGCAACACTGACATGATTTACTCATAGCCCTCAGTGCACAATTGCACAGATCCAACTTTACAAAAATGCAAAAATGCATAGGAATGTGATGACTGCTTGGATATTCATCCTACCAAAGTTCAGTCATGGCACATAGGCAACGTACACATAATGATTTCATAGGGGAAAATTTGTTACTGGATCCTGGGGGCTAGTCTGGAATTACTTGCAATAAACTCAAACGTGAACACTATAAATACTTTGCATAAAGGTCAATTCATATATGCTATCAGCTTACTTGAAGACTTGGAGCCCAGAGCTGCAGACCCAAGCCTGCGGGTAGTCCCCATTCCAACTCTGCGTGAGTTTGCAGGGGCCTTTGAAGATGTAGAGGAGCTAGCTGAGGAAGGTCTGTTCCCATCCACGGAGTCTTCATCATCAAAAATTTTATCTGCCAAAAAAAGCACACTCAGCTGTAAGTCTGATGAAGCAAAGGGATGTCTCAAAGAACATGCCCACGCGATGGCAAACACGCTGTATGTTCAGGTCTGCTCTGCCAGCTCTCCTCTCAGCAGCATCTTCATGCTAGAAATACAGTTATTCACAAACAACCACCAGGCCACTGAACCCAACCCTTTGCTATTGCGGCCACTATGTTATAAACCCTTTCAATGAATGCACTCAGATAAAAAGAATAAACTTCAAATCTACAGCACAAAGATGCAAGCCACAGATAATACTTGGCATGTCTAGTCTGTATCTCTGATGCTTATGCCTCCGAGAACTATTTTGCCATGGGCTGTAGTGAAGCCAAGACTGTGAGCAAATGCAAGTGTGGTAGGGATCAGCAGCACAGGCTGCCCTGTCACAGCCCACTAATTGGCCACACCAGATCAAGAATAAGAATAAGCAGGGTAACGCGGGAAAGATTGCATGGCAACACCCATGCTGCTGACAAACCACAGACCATTAATCAGAGCCATCCAGAGCTACAAATCCACTTTAACTTTTTAAAGGATTCTCCACGAAGAAATAGAAAAAGTTACCTCAAATTCATAAAGCCATAAATATAAGGTGTATTAAAACTTATTGAACCCTCTGTGTACATCCAAAGGGAACTGCAGCTTCTACTTCCAAACATGAACATAAATTAACTTAAAATTAATTACAGTCACTTTGGTTCTCAGTGAAGGTCACTTCAATTCCAAAGGAGTGCTTATATTGCAGTTTTACACAGATTAGCTAATCCACTTTAAAAACCAGCCTTAGGTTGAAAGGTGACAAAGTGTTTGGACAGCGGATATAGATGGCACACATTATGCGCTGGGGCCAGAAAAGCCGCCTCAGTCCCCATCACTTAGCTTTTTCACACTAACGCTTCATCCAAGATTTGAGACCTGCTTCATGTCCATCCTCCTCCAAGAGTCCAAGGTACACAGCCACTCTCCATCATTTCAGGAACATTTCCTTTGTGAAATTTCACTTGGCAAAAAAAACTCAAGCAGATGCTTTAATCCGTCCCTATTCAGGAAAGCACCTGGGAATATCTAGTAACAAATACAGGCTCCTAGTTAGACACTAATGAGTGAAATTCAATACAGATTAAGCTTTCTGAAAGTAAGAAAATAAATTGGTAACAGTAAAGACATATTCTAGGGGAGGTAAAAGAACAGAAAGAAAAGCCTATACTGTCCGCAGCCCAACAGCCTTAAGGAGTTTTCCCCACCCAAAGTGTTACTGGCTTATTAGCAGCTGGGCACAGGAGAACTGTCACAAATCATCTAAAAACCTAAAACCGCGTTTCCAATATGCACCCATGCATACAATGCTATACTTCAATCACAGCACAACACTGAAATGACAGGTAGACAGCTGCATCCAACAAGTTAAGAAAAGTGACCAAGGACATCTTGAACACCAAAATTAAGGGGAGAGAAGTCTTGGAATATGAGAAAGGGCTAGAAAAAGAGTAACAACTAAAGGAAAAGGATAATATAATAACAGGTAGGATGTGGGCTCTAACACAGTGCCCTAGGGCAGCCATGGAGTCCATGCTACCTCCCTACTGGCACTGGTCATGTTCTGACGTACATAATTCAAAAATAATTTGGAAAGAGCTCAGGGAAGGACCATGAGAATGATTAAAGGATTGGAAAATATGTTTTTAATTAAATTAAATGAAAATTCACTGTAGGGGACTGTTTAGCCTGGCCAGATTCTTAACAAGTTACTTGATTATATTCTGTGTTAACACAGCAACTGAAGATTTATTAATGTAGTTTTTCCAGTGTGATTTATTAATACTGTTTCTCATCTAATAGAAAAATATACAACAAGCCCACTGGCTGGAGGTTAAAAACCAATTAAATTCTGAATTGCCTTCCCCCCCTCCCCTCCATTTTTTTTTTTGCAATAATGACAGGACTGACTCCCTGCAAGGTTAGGAGGTGTGTCACCCAGCAAACTGTACCACAGGCAGATTTTAAAAAGCAAGATTGAATTTTTTTTCCTGAAAGATAGTCTAGTTCAAACACAAATTATTTCAAAAACATCATTTGGTGAGAGTTGCACAGAAGGTCATGGCAGATCAAAACAGACTTTAAAATGTATAATCTCTGAAGCTTCTAGGAAGGGGTTTAAGTGATGCAGAAAGACTTGCACAGACCTTGAATAGAAAAACTTCTCAGCAAAATTTGCCCCAGTTGCATTTATTTTAAAAGCTCATCTATAGATATTAAGCAAATGATTATTTATCATATATATATTACCAGACTAGAGAAAGTCAGTCATACTCAAAACAAAAGATACTTTACTACTTCAAAACCACTTTCATCTGGTAATAAAATCCTCCATCAGCTGCATTTCAGGCTATCTAGATGCAGTCTTGGTTAACTCACTTCTTGTGTCTGCATTTTTAAAGCCTCACCCCTCTGAAAGAAGCGGGTGTGGTTTGCTATTTCATATAATAAATAAAAATTCAGAAAAACACATATTAAAAGGATCATGCTCCTGTAGCATTTTAGCAATTAAATGAACTATCATTTTCATTTAAAACAAGCTTTTCTGAGCATTAGCTAAAAATCAACACTCCAAAAAACCAACCAGCCAGCCCCCAGTGTTGGGGATGTTTGGATTACAATCACATCTCCTGTTCATTAAGTCTACAAATTAAGCATTACATATTTATCAAATCAGAATATCCCTTCAATAACCCAACAGCATTTTCTCATCCGAGTAGTGCAGAATGACAGCGCCACATTCAGAACTGCACACCAAGTCTTCCAGCAGCACGTGTGCAGGACAGAAAGAGAAAGAGAAACAAAGAACAGAAAGAAACCTGAACATGGAAGTGCAGAAAATAACAGAAAAACAAGCTATTACACATTATCATTAAAAGGTTGGGGTTTTTTCCCGCATTTGTTGACTCCCGTTCACAATAACCATTTCAACTAGGATCATATTTTTTGCAGCCTATCTGCAAATCACAAGATGGTAAATTCAGCATGGGTGTAACTCTCATGACTCCAGCAGAGGTGCACCGAAGCGGAATCGGTGCCATGTTCTAACATTAAATAACCATTGATGTTCCCCCATCCCAAGACCCCCGCAGTGCTCATTTATAAGGGCCATATAGCACTCTCCGACAGAGACATGCCCTTATAAAAGAGGCCTTTGTCTCCTCATCCCTCTGCTGTCTTAGAGAAACAGAGAAGGCAATTTACTTTACATTTTTCAATTACTTTACATTATTTAAGAAGAAAACAAAAATGGCTTACAAGTACATATCCTTCTGCAAATAAGCTTCCTCAACATTCCTTCATATTTTCCATAGCGTGCCCAGATGTAACAGTGCTTCACAGAGCGCCGCGGCTTTCAGTCCAGAACATAATCAATCATTGCCCCTCGTATTCATTAAGCATGCTGTCTTCACACGTGGATTTAAACAGCTATGGCTTCAGTCCTCTCTCTACGACTGTGGCTCTGCGGGATTCTCATCAACACCCATTTCAGCCCAGGGAACTTTGGGTTCACTTCTCAGAAGGAAATTCCCTGGTAGCAAGGGGAACCCGGGACAAATAATCCAGGATGAAGACGAGCTGAGTCTGCCTGGCTGGGCTGGCTTGCACTAGGAACCAGCCTGACTTCATCCCCTGGGAAGCGCTAACAGGAGCATCTCAACAGCTGTCATCATTTGTCCATGATGAATAAATTTAGTCATTATTCATTTTAAAACGTAACCCCTTCAGGTCTGGGCAAGGTGTAAAATGGGGAGAAGAGACTGTGCTAGTTGTTTAGGAACAACAGTAAAAAAGGGCCAGCATTTCCCCTGCCTGGACGACCAGCTTGGGACCTTTTAAAGCAAAGTAATTGAGTCTCACATTGCCTTTCCAATGGAAATAGATGCTTCCTGGCTTTTAAAAACTTTAAGATATCACATTCAAATCTTTTAATTATTTATCTGTAAGCTTTAGAGAAGAGAGCTACCCTGTAGCGACTACAGAGTGTGAGAAGCAGCTTACGGTCATGTCTGCTCCTAACAAAGCTGCCCCGCTATGGTCTTTAGGCCTGACTCTGCAAGGCACTAAACCTGCTCCAGCCCTGCTGTGCCCATTTATCACATCCCGTGTCCAAGCCTCAGTGCCACTGAAGTGGGCAAGCAACTTACAAGAATTCCCTTTGACGGGACACCACCTTCCCCCCCTTCAATTGTGCATTTAAACTTAAGCGGTTAAATCTCTAGTTTGACGTCTAATTAGACTGAAGCACCATGGCCAGTAGGTGGAATCTATACATGCTCTGCCTGCTCCAGCAGTACTCCTTTTGTCAGACACAACCCAATGTGCATTGGCCAATGTTTTTCAGACAGACACCCCTTGGACACCTCAGACTGTGCCCTGCCCAAGGCCAGCTTCTGGGCACCCCCACCTCCAGCTGTAACTCCCATGGGATGCAAGGAACACCTCACTTCTCTCTCTGGGTGTACCACCTGCCTCCAAACGCAATAGCTTCAGCCGAGGTTAAATGCCTCTTCCCATTAGCACACACCAACCCACATGTGGCCAAGCTGCAAGCCTGCTCAGCTCCAACGTTTACACGTACCATATAGGTTTCTCTGGCAAAACAAGTTTATGAACCCACTGAAGATAAAGGGACACATGCATGCTCCTCAGCAGGACAAATGTTTAAAAAAAGGAGTCACAGCCATGAGCAGCAGTATGCAGGCACAGCACATCATTACGGTTTCTCACTTGGCCATCTCCTGCAGTTTCCCAGCTGTTCTCTCCACCTGGCCCCAGCCATGGCCCCTCCCTCCCCACCCTGCACACCAGGCACAGTATTTTGAACCTTTAAAACGCTGTCCGCTTGGGCTTGGTGACGCCAGTCAGCCCCCCCAGTGCCACTGGCCATCCCCTTGGGTCCAGTTCTCCCAGGCTGACCCAGCCACCAGCTCCAGCCCCAGCCCACCCCTGCTGCCGCCTTCCGGCACAATTCCATGAACCACCTCATCATCCTTCACAACTGGCTTTCAAGTGAACTCCCAAAACCCTGACCTCAGTGGGGATCCCTCCAAGGGCTCAGCAGGATTAAGCCAGCCACAGCAATGACTGTCTGCAAGGACATGCATATCCCCATTACCTTGGCATCTTTCTCTTATCTCACATACATTGCCCTATTCAAACTAGAATAGGTATAATTGTGGGTTGGAGTTTGTCTTCTGAATAAGGTTTCTACAGCATAAATCTAGACAATATATTTATGACCAAAATAAATACAATAAGCAATACAGGTGCCACAGGTGAGGTGGTACTTAAAAGACCCAAGCCAAGAATGTTATGCCAGGTAAGTGGACAAGTGCTTTTCATTTTAGTAATCTTTCCAACACTCACGTGCTTTTCTTTAGTCCAAAACATTTCAGTTTTCCTTCCTTAGCTAGGAAAGCTGACACTCATCATCTTGGCTGCTGCTTCATTATGCTGTCTAATTATGAGCTAATGAAGCTGCTCATAATCTAACAGGTCTTCAACTGCTATCACCAAGGGAAAGACGATTCCTGAAAAAGTAACACCTGGAATTGTTTTCTGCTCCAAATAGATCACATTTACACAGGCAGTTGTCCTGTTATACATCCTGCTCAGTCCCAAGCACACAGCCACAGTAATTTCAGAGTACTGATGTCTGCCATCCCTCTGTAAGCAGAAAAACAATTGGGCAGAGGTAGCAATAATAAACAAGGCACATTCCTCTTAGTAAGGAATCCTACATTTATTAAACCAATGCCAGTATGATATATTAAACCAATGCCAGTATGATACAGTTAACAGAGGAAATTGATGTACACCCTGACCTGACCACATCCAACACCAGACAGTCTGCACATGGAAAGCAAATACCAACTTCCACAGGAGAGAATAAGCGATAGCCCCAGCAACATTCAAAATCTGCTGTCAAGGACTGGCCTAGTAAGTCAGACAAAATCTTCCTGCAGAAAACTAATCTGAAATCATACAACTCATGACTGGTGCAAGTTACTTTTCTGATGTATATTACAGTTTTCAGTCCTGGAATCAGATGGCTCCAATTTAAGTTGTATCCATGTGGGCTGTGGGGGGGCTTGAGAACAAGAACCTTAAAGACTTGAAAACAAGAAACAAATAAAAAGGATTCAGTATTTATGAGCCTGTTTGTGTCAAAACATGATTTTTATAACCATAAGGTTGACAATATTAATATCATCATGTTAATAAGCCACAGGATGCTTTCTCTAATAGCATACAAGCACTAACACAACCAAGAACACAGCAAAGTACTTTTCAGAAACTTGTGTTCACGAAACTAACGCAGCTGGAAATGGGAATTTTTAAGAGTAAGTGAAACTGTCATTTGGGCAGTTTTCAGCAATATGAAAGTTTCCATTAGCTTTAAGTAGATTTAGAAAAGAGGCTGTACAAAGGTTTCACATTCCTACAAGCTTTGTAAAATTAAGTAGCAATAGGAGACGACAAAATAGCTATGATACTGAGTGAAGGAGCAACAGCTCAAACAGCCAAAGAACTCACAAAAGCACTGAAAGCTGAGATAAATCTATAAAAAGAGCCAGGATTTATTAGTTTCACTAATTACTTTAGTATACTATTCATACAGACACTTAAACAAGAATCACAAACTAGATCCGTGCTAGAGCTGCACGGACAAAGCCTTTGCCTCACACTGATTATAAAAAGTAGTAACGATCAAGAGACAGACACAGACATGCAACACGAGTTAAAAGAAATGGGAAGAAAAAAAGATAAGAATCTGTTTTCCTCAAAGACATCCTCAGAAATATAATATTCCCACAGTGCCCTTTCCAGCCAGCCACACTGCTTGCCCCCAGACCTCAAGAGCATCAGGAAATCCACAATAAATACCTTGGAAAACCACACCCACCCCAAAAGCCCACATGTTTACATAAAGTTTCAATTTAAAAAGCAAAACCAGCTTTTCCCTACCTTGCACTTACCCCTCCTGTCACCCAGGGGTTCATTACTGGGCCTCACAGGGTGCCCACCCGCCGCTCATAGCCAGGCTGCCCATACAGAGATATCATTATCTCCGAACGCAGCCTTCCACACACACCCCAATTATTTCAGACTCTATTAAATGCTCCACAACAGGGATGTTATTTCTGCGTTTTGCTGCCGTAGCTTTCCCTGCTGACTGCACTTGGGGGTGCTGTCCCTTTTTTGTTCCGGACCCTTGAAAACAGCCTTTTCTTGCACCAGGTGGAAACGCGCCAGCAGCAGCCCCGAGCACAGGCATTACTCCCTCCTCACAGCATTCCCGTTAGCATAATCTTCACAGACAAAAATGCAAAGTGGGTCATATACCCAGAGCCCTAGAGATACCAATCAATGAGAAAGGCTATTTATACAGGATGGACCAGGGGGATCTTTTAGAGTCAGGAAATGTCTTTTTCCAGAACTACAGGAATTAATGGCAGGACTGGTATAGCTGCAGGAAAGCATTCCTCGATTCCTAAATAGCAGATTAAGCACATGGTTTTCCATTTTAACATTAATCCTCTGCACTGCCCAGTGCCATTGTTAACATTCTCCCTCAGCCTTAGTAAAGTTTAATTATTTAGGCAAATAATTATATAAAAGAAAGAATTCTTCTGCCTCCATTCACAAGACAGCAAAATTCAATTCTGCAGATGCACAGGAGCTCCCCCAGGCACCATCTTCATACACACACATGGCAGGGATTCATCAGGGTAATGATGAAGCAAGCAGTGAACCTTTCCCCTCCTCGCCCTCACCTCCAGGTTTTAGCCAGCACTCCACATTTGCCAGAAAATTTGCCTGGACTCCCTGTGCCTGCAGAGAGCCTCAGCCTCTGCTCTGTTCAGGCAGCAGGCAAGATGGGCAGCAGCTCCATCCAGCTACTGGTCATCCACACTGCACCCACTACCCCAGACAACAGCTTTTTTTGCCAGGGTCTGTGGTCAACCTTGCACAGTAATTGTTCTAGAATGACATAAATGTGACTAAAAAGCACTGCCATTCCATAGCAGTGAGAAATATTTGTTATTATTTTAGCATGTGAGCAAACTGGAGCAGAGTTGCTGAGGGACATTCTCAAGGGCGTGAAAACTTCAGGACATTGCCAGAATCTGGATTAAGCTCCATTCCTAGAAGCATGGGTTTTTTTCTAAATCACTTTTTCTACCCCCTATTAAAGGTGAGAGTAGTGTCCCAAATACTTTCTGATTTTTCCAATATTATCTTCAAAACTGTTTTATTCATATTCAAAAAGGACATTTGCAAGTGGCTCGGAAAACAAGAAATCACATCACAAGGTATTAGAAAAAATATTTTAATTTAGTTCTTCTTGACAAGTTGCTTGAAGCTTAGCCACAGTTGAAATGGAGTTCTTTATTTCTCAGGGATGGTACCCAGCAACGCTACAGGAAAATAGCTACCAGAGACGGTGCTAAACCAAGCTCCCAGGGGGACATCTGCTAGCAACAGCTTGGCCAAAGCTCATATGAAAAAAGCAGATACCTGGGGAATCAACAGATCAAGTTTTGTCCTACCTGGACGGTCTATACCCTACATAAAGTGACTTAAGAGGTACACCAGGAATCTGAAGGCTTTACATGGACAGATGCTTTTCACCTGCAACAGACAGGAGCACTGCTGGCAGAGCAATCAGGTGCCTCCAGCCCCACAGACCAGGTTCAGGTTTCCAGCTATTAGCACCATCTGTTGCCATGACATCATAGGAAAAGGCATCTTCTCCCTCTGCCGACTCCAGTAATTACCAGGAGCCTGGCTCACCTAGATGCTGACTGCTCTAACAGGGATCATTGTCAACAAAAGGAAATTGCATTTTATATTGCTATCACTTATTGCTTCCTGAAGGCCTGCTCGTTTTCTATACATGCAGCACACCAAGGTGTAAAGTGTTGACAACCAGCATGCAGAGCTGTATTAGGATGGAAAGAGAATCCTGACATTTTTAGGACAAAGCACTGTTGCAAAAAGGCCAAAAGCATCTTAACTGCCTCAAATTACCCAGAGCACATTTGGCAGGGGGCAGAAATGCTCTAGGAGATCCCACTTCCAGCCACCACAGAGCATCCTCCCCGGTGCAAAGCCTGCTACTACACACAAGTCCTGCAGCAGAAAGCTTTCTAGAAATACCTACAAGGGGATAAAAATAGCAAACTGAAGCCTTGTTTCCTTTCAGGATAGGTCTCAGAGGATAGCTGGGTCAGTGAAGTTAAGCCAGTAAGATGTGTTGAACAGACCTGGGGAAGCTGGAGCACCGGCCCTGTCTGATACCTTCGTTTAGGTGTATTTACAGTTACTAACTGAGGCGACATGCTGCCTCGCACTTTGCATTTGCCAGGGGATGACCCTCTATGAGATTCTGGGGCATCCTAAACTTTCCAAGCAGCCCCTTCCAAGCCAAGAAACCTGTGTGCAGTCATTCCTGAACAACAGAGGAAAAACCAAGGCTGTCAGCCTGTATCTCCAATACAGCCACAGTGAAACCACGCTCAAGAAGATCAGTGACTTCAATGGTAACTTCCAAAATGTTCTTTTTTTTAGAAGCAAAAGCTAAAACTATCAGATGACATTATGAAAGTATTTTGAATTCTGACTGTTTTGAAAAAAGCCCAACCTCATAGCAGTAAGCTGTATTTTACTTTTTGTGAAAAAATGCTAGTTCAGTAACTTTTAGAATGGATTTTCAATAATGGCTACTTCTAATAATACACTGCACATATTTC